AAAACATTCAAACCCCGACGAGTCAACAAAGAAAGCAGAATTAAAAATATCCCTGAATCTCATCGCAATAACCTCACTTTGCCAAGTTTTGTCCAAGGCGCTGGAAGAATTCAGCAATTCAGGAACACAGGAGTAGATATTCATGAGTGAGACAGTGGTCCTTTGAGAAAGCTGTGTACAGACCAATGTATGTCACAGGAAGCAAACAAGCACATGTGTCATTTGCTCATTCAATATGAGTTTTGTAATGTGCTGCCGAAACATTTTACATAAAAAGAAGGGAAGCATTCTGCATTCAAATGGAATAGCTGGATATGAAATAGGACTGAGAGGACGGGCATGGGTCAGTGGCATCCTTATTCTATGGAAGGCACAGGCAAAGAGAGAGCGCACGATTATGGTAGCGGCAATGACAGTCACTCTGAACCCCCTTTATCCCAATTAGAGCCAAGGGGATTCAAGGGAGCAAAAATGTGAGTACCTGACACATATGTAAAATTAGAGCCAGTGAGTACAACAGGAATAAAGCTTCATCAGGCATTTATACAAACAATTGTATATTTTTAATTTCAAAATTTGAAGGCAACCACAATTGTATGTTTCCCTCACAACAATAAAATCAGAAGCAGGAAAATATAAAGGTGGCAACTTTACATCTCAACATTAACAAACCTTAAGTCAACTGTTAAAATGGGTACTATTCTTAAAAGATAGTGTAACAAACTCAGAAAGCAGTAGCAGATACATCAATATCTTCCCCACCCCCAGACTGACAAATACTCCACTATAGCACAGACAGCCAAAGCAATAGCAACACAAAGGTCACTGCACAAGGAAAACCAGAAAAGAATTCTCCCTTCCCCATTACACTCTACTAGCAGGTCGCCGTTCTCCCATAAAGTTTATCATGCAATTACAATTAACAATTGATCATAAGAGTAAAATGATGTTTGTGTTACTTTCTCCATCTAGAACTAAGATCTAGAAGTGTTAAAAATCTTATTTTCCCCAAGAGGACATTCTTAATGCCAGATCAAGTTCCCTTTTGCAATAGTAATCCAAACTAAAAAGCTCTGAGCATCAGGCAACTCAAGCAGCAAAAAGTTAAATAGGTCCAACTTGACTACTGATCACAAAAAATATTCTATAAGATATTGCATTCTTGATCAAAAACTAATACAGAGGTTGCTCTAAGGTGGTGAGTAAAAAGACGCAGAGGCTTTCAAACAGGATGATTTTATTCCTTTGTATTTAAACGATCTTTCTACAGTAGTGGGACAGGAAGCAGCAGCAAAGAGGGGAAGGAGAAAACAGTTTAGAATATACAGCACTTCCTTTTGGGTTGAGTTTCCGGAGGCTCGAGGGCAGCTAGGATAGCCTCATCAAACACATTCTTCAGACCTCTCTACAAGACAGAGGGGAGGAGAGAGAATAGCAGCCAGGTTAGAGGATTAGAAAGACTAGCAGATACAATAGCAGTCCGGATTAAATGAGCTGAATTCACAGAAGCAATGTACCTTATGAAAAATAAAATGCCGAAGTTCTAGATCTTAAACCTGTTATTTAGACAGTAGATCACTGAACAAAAATTTCACCTCGGGAAAGGTTAAATGGGCAAGAAAGCAATTTTTATAAAAATCCAGTATGTTGGGCTCGGCACCAGTGGCTCAAGAGGCTAAGGTGCCAGCCACATACACCTAAGGTGGCGGGTTCAAATCCAGCCCAGGCCCACCAAACAACAAAGACGGCTGCAACCAAAAAATAGCCAGGCATTGTGGCAGGTGCCTGTGGTCCCAGCTACTTGGGAGGCTGAGGCAGGAGACTTGCTTGAGCCCAAGAGTTGCAGGTTGCTGTGAGCTGTGATACCACGGCACACTACCCAGGGGGATAGCTTGAGGTTCTGTCTCCAAAAAAAAAAAAAAAAATCCAGTATGTTCACTTCTAAAATAATTACACATTGAAATTGAATATTACAACATTTTAATAAAAATACTGTGCAGGGGCAGTGGCTCATGCCTGTAATCCTGGCACTCTGAGTAGCCAAGGCAGGAGGATCACTTGAGGTCAGGAGTTCAAGATCAGCCTGAGCAAAAGAAAGACTTCCTTTCTACAAAAAGGAGAAAAAATTAGCTAAGTGCAGTGGCATGCACCTGTAGTCCAGCTACTCAAAAGGCTGAAGCAGGAGATCGCTTGAGCGTAGAAATTTGAGGTTGCAGTGAACTATGATGATGCCACTGCATTCTAGCCTGGACAACACAGTGAGACTCTGTCACAAAAGAGAAAAGAATAATGCCAGGAGGGGAAAAACAGTAGATATATAATTATAAGACAGATGCCACGAAGAACCCCCTAGTATTTCTATAGACAAGAATAGCATAAACACTTTGAAAATAACTCTATTACAATTTCGAGCTTATGTGAATTCAGCCCCTGAATAACTGAAGGCACAAACAGCAGACTAACAGGCATGCTACATGTTTCTAGATTCAATGACCTATCTTGATAGGATTAATCAAAATTTCAAAATAAATCAGTTTCCCAGAACAAAAAAGGGCACACATTTAAAAAGAGTGTTAACTATGTAACAGTACCAACTGGGAGAGTTTAAAGAAGGGACTCTAGAAACAGCATACACTTCAGTTATTCAGCAATGTTATTAGAGCAAGTAACCACCACCCAAGTCATAAGAAAACAAAGAATGGGGTCCTAGAATGAGTTTTAGCAAGCAGTCCAGTGCTTTCAGATGTCTGCATGGGTA